AAATTCATCAGTTAAAATTAATTCATCAAATCTAAATTATTTCGTGAATTTAAAATTAACTTGTCAAATTAAAATTAATTCATTAATGTAATTAATTCATCAATAAAAATTAATAGACCTTTATTTTTTTTTTTATTAATATATACAATTACACTTCGTCGGAGGTCAAACTCGATGTGTACAGTCGAACCCTGGTAATAAGTCTTTGTTTTTCTTTGTTTTCCTTTGTTTTCCAATATTGTTAATACAAGGTACCTGTTATAACAAGGTAATTTGTAAAGTCCTATGGACCTTGTAATAAATATTGGTGTTCTCAATACTCGCCCGTCGGCGCCATTTTGTCATTCTTAAAGTATCAGTCACAGACAATGTACTGCTATCATATCCCCCAATTTTTGTTATCCATTCATATTGCGCGAGGAACGTTTTCAAATTACCGTTGAACGCCTATTCAGACGGAATTGCAAAAATATTCAGTTGTACGGTTTATACCCATGGGGTCTACCAAACTATCCGAAAATTAATTGCGAGTGTCCACCTTTGAACACACAAAAGGTCAACATGAACATTATTGCCTCACTCTCGGTGGTCAGACTGACAAGAGGACCCAACTGATACCAGGGCACGATGCCACATCCAATCATATTTAACTGTGAGTCTTTTCACGGGTTTTTTAACGATTATGCATGATAGCCTACGTAGTGTTCATTTTTAAAGGAAGTTTGGTCTTCCGTTTCTTTCTTTGGCGTAACCTTATAATGTTAGCGTTCAGTCATCGTTAAAATTCAGTCATCGTTAAAATACATATATATCGTGGAGTTATTACTGTTACTACACTATAACTGTTTCATGATGATATGCTGCCTTCGGCCGTTTGGATTCTTGTATAACTGTATGGCGTACATATTGCTCTGCTTTGGTTGAATAACGCACAATATATCCATGTTATATCCAAACCACTGCCGGATAATACTTCAGCACCTTTGTACACTTTGCTCAGAGGGAAGAACACTGTCGGTGGATATAACATTCAATATACCCAGAGTGTATGCAGTCAAAGGACTTACTTCTTCGAGTTAATTATTAGAATATTTATTATTGTTGAATGTAAAATGGGGGATGAGGCGAGTTGTGATTTGTTTCGAGCCCTCAGCGTTTTAAAGTCAAACCTTTGGTATTATATATGGCTTGCAAATCAATTGTTACCTTACTATGAAATTAGTGATCTCTTCAAGACCAACCTTTCGTTCAAGTATGGTTCACTTTGATCATTCCAATGATAAATCCTTTGAATAAAATTAGGTAATTTGACAGTTCTCGTATGGAAATGAAATTCACAGGTCTGCATAATTATTGTGGTGAAATTATGCAATTGACCTTTAATTATTGCTTTAGAATGTCCAGTAGCCTCCAGATTGATACAGGGAAACCGAGGAATTCCAACGATAAAGCCCTAAAACCACTTACTAAAATCAAGGTGGAACCGCGTTAACTATACGGTACACATCGGTGTTCGTGCTCAGTTTCATAGCCAGACATACTGCAAACTGACCAGTCGCCACAATGCCCTGAAATCTGCTTTATGTCCGATGCTTATCAGTCGAATGGAGAGTAACTGGAATGCTGAAAACAGCGATCCATCGAAAGCAAAAATGGTAACTACTCTCGTGCGGCATTTTGTCTAACTTTAAGTATACGTTCTGACGTACTGTGTTTTGTTATACCTCAAATCGCTGCACTTCATGAACTTAACCTCAAAAGTGCATTCCAGGTTAAACACTAATTACTCTTTGGCATTTGAATATTTATGCCTCTATACCTTGCACGATGCATTTAAGTGGTACTCAAGACAGTCATTGCCTATTCGACAAATAAAAGACGTTTACTAGATTTAGTTTTTGTGATGTTAAAAAACGATCTCTTATTGAATTCGACTATCAAGCAGTTACCTCTGACTTAACCTAAACCTATCGGTTAATATACCAAGTCCTAATGACGTTATGGCTTTGTTTGCATATGCGCTTAATTTCCTATGGGAGCGAAGTCGGGACGCCAGACAAAGTAGGGACCGTCTGACACATAGGAAAGCGCACATGTAAAGAAAGCGTGACGTCATTAGGTCCCAGGCCTATTGAACTGTGGTCAGCGAAACACCATATGGATCACTTAACTATTCAATAACAAGTGTATTGAATAAAAGTATGGTAATTTGTGTTAAATTAACTGCAGGGCCTACTCGTAAGGCAACAAATTCATGTAATTATGCACTTATCTGCATAATCATCAAAGTGGATTATGCAGTTGATCTTTAATTATTGAATTTTAATGTACAGTATCTTTCAGTTCAGTAAACCTCCAGATGTGGACACATGGAAACGGATTAGTAGAACTCTCTGCTCTGGTCAGCGTGCCTTCGCCAAGGCAGCACCTGCCGTTTTTGAATAAAGGCTCCCTGTCCTGACTAGACAGTCGTGAAATAACATCCCTGGACATCTTGAAAAGAGAGTTGAAATCCCGTTAACTTCACTAGTTATTTCTCTCAGACTTCGAACTATTTGTCCGTGCTTGGTGTAGGCGCCTTGATCGTGTTTTTTGATAAGTGCTGTGATGCCTTCGAATTCAGTGAAAATCGAAGCTCATCACCACACAAACTTCACGTTATAGTGGTAAACGTTATTACCATTTTGCAGTAGGAATACATGCAGTCATATCTGAGCTAGTGCTTCAGACTGCTCCCCCCTTCTTGATAGGATCCAACACGAGCTATTAATTTGGTTGGACTGGACCAGGCATCACCCCTAGAACCTCAAGGTCTGTGGCACCTCGTTCCCCATGGGTACGATCTCGCTGTGCGCCATGTTGGTTCCCATTACCGAGGCTGCCGTGCGCGATCCTGTTTTGCTCCACAAACAAAAACTATACATATTTTCTAGATTTTCTTAGACTAGTGTTTCCTTAAGCAGACCGGCAGCTGAACCCCTTTGAGAACATTCCAGATCTGCTCATGTTAAATGGAAATATTTGGCGCGGTTTCCGAAGGAAGCGGTCCCCACACACACCAATCATGATTTAAACCGTAGTCGCTGCTAATTTACCTCCAATATGCATTGGGTTGTCATACAAACTCTTCTATGATTAACCGTTCTGTCAGATAATGCAGTACAACGGTAATTTGAGGACGTTCTTCACGTTCCTAATTATTTTAATGTATAGCACAATTCAGGTAAATGCATTTCGCTTTAACAAGGGGCCACATTAACGAGAGACACACTACACATGTGAATGTAAAATAGCGGACTAAAACTTTAAGAATGAAAAATGATGGATAATCTGACGGACGAGTTAGAGAACACCAATATTT